CCAAAGATCGCCCGTTAGATATACACAAGACGAATTATATGTCATGTTTAACCACAAACGTCAGAAGCACTAGCCGAGGAAAGGCTGTTCCAGGCGGGGTGCAGAGCGCTGAGACCCCGGTAAAGGCTTGGATATCACAACTCCGAAAACGTCACTTTCGCGACGTAACGCCGCTTTGAATGTCGGGAAGAAGTCTGCTGTGGAGTCCGCATCAGCGCGGGCTCGGCAAAAGTGCGCATCAAGGGCTCAAATCGACCGCAGAGGGGGCGCTCGCGAGCACCCTTCTGAGATCTAAAAATGACAAATGGGACACACTACGGTCTCACGGACTTAACGGACACGCGCACGCGGCAGCCATTGTAAGTCCACAAGACCGAAAGTGCACGAAGTGTGCCATTTGGGACAGGGCCACAGAGGAAGACCGCGAGTGCTTAGGGTTCCATTTGGGACAGGGCATTCCTCTGATGTAACCGATCGGCGAGAGTTGCCGCGTGCAGGCGGGGAGGAGCTGCAAACGGAGACGTGAAGTCGGACACTTTCTGGTTCCCGTATTGACCGCTCAGCTCACGTGGTGTTTGCATACTTTACTACAGCTGAAGTGAAATAAATGCAATATTTGCCAAATACACAGATATTTCAGATACATTTTCATTCAATACTTTACTGCTTCATACAGCATCTGTTTGAACAAGAATAAAGTTCAAAATAAGCCTAAATCAATGAAGTGGAGTCAACGTTTTTTAATCAGTTTTATTTTGATAAACATGACACAATATAACATCGTGACTACATGAAAAGACTGTTTACTGTTATAAAAAACTGATTTGTGAGCTTTAATGGAACTAAAGGTGTGAGAATAAACACGAAACGCACATGATCGTTGTCATGCGGTGAACCAGGCGAATCGTGGAACAGCTGTGACGTCATCAGAGCTTGTGCAGCTGCTCTTGAGAAGCTGCACTGGCTGAGTCCTCCGGCTACTCTCGAATCGCTCTCGCGGTACTTTGATGGCATACGTCACAGTCATGTGGCGTCTGCGCTAAACATAGACAGTAAAAGAAATGGACACAGCAACCCCGTTGATTTCAACGGAGAGAGTTGAAGCCCAACATGGGCACTCACTTCCTGATAGCCAAGCGTTCTGCGCAGGCCAAGCAAACTGAGCTTGACGACGTAGTTGTCACGTGAGCAACCGTTCTGACCTTCTAGTAGCTGTGCCGGGACAAATCTGAATTGAAATCTGAAACAAATCTGTTGTTGAAATATTTTGTCCCGTTGCTTTTATGAACTCTCTATCTATGGGCTTCTCCCTTGACTTTATGCCTCCATGTCCACCCGATTGCCTCATAGACGGTAAACGATTGCCGACGAGCTTCTACTTCTGTCTATACGGTCATTTCTCTACTGTGCGACAGAGCGTCCCGTGGTTATGACGCAATCGTTAGCCTATTTTTACAAGAATGGCTTCTACGGGGGCATAACGTAAGATACAAAGTAATGGAGCCTTTTATACATTGTCGTGTTTCTTTAGAAATAAATAATGGACAAATGGTGTCTTTGGACGCCTCAGATGTAAAGTTATTCGCTGTCAAAGTGACGCCAAAATGAATGGGAGTCAATGGGATGCTAACAGCAGGTGATAGCCAGCTACAATGGCGGCCCCCGGAGGCAGCTTCAACTTCCGGCTGATGGATTACCCCCTTGGCGCTACATCAAGTCGGACAAAATTTCTAACCGGCATGCACTGCTTCAAGTCAGCCGCCGATCGGTCTGCGCAGAGCTGCATGAAGTCGAACACACCAGTTGATCAGCGCAGTCGGTGGAGAGCAACTGCGCGCGACTGCAGAATCCGACACGTGCGCCTTGCGGTCGCGAGAGTTTTTTGACATACGTCGGCATGACATCAGAGCATGCATGTCGCGCTGATCACCGGTGATCGGTTCTGCGCAGATTTTGCTCATCTCAAACAAGCCTAATAAAATGGGCAAAGAGGCGGGACGTGGGTGGAGCTGAGGTGCTAATGCTATATGCTACTGGCCTCGCGTTAAAGTGACAGCTGTTTGAAGAAGTAAAGCCAATAGTTCATGTTCATGTTTTTGCCCTTCGAAATATTATGATAGCTAGCCTATTATATAGATCATATACATATAGATCGCAAAGTATTTTATTATATTATAGTAGATGTTAACCCATGATTGATTATTTTGGGACGGCTTCATAGGGACTTCCAGTATATTGTGTGCAGCCTGGTTTTGGACGTCCTCTACTGGTTCATTAGGAGCAATGCTTAATCTGTTAACACTGTAAGCTGTCAGTATAGCTGAGAATGTCAAATAAAGTAAGTTTAAAGCATTCTGTCAGTGAAGATATGATGTTTGAAAGAACTAACACTGTGTAACTACACTTAAAGAACTACATGAGCTCTGAAAATATTTCTAGAGTTTTCTCACATTCTCAAAGTCATATTTAGAATAAACAAATCCATTTTCTATATATGCAAAAGCATTTTGCCTATTTTTGGAGGTCAAACTGAATTTGTGTATTTATTTTGTCCTTTGGTAAGTTTAAAGGGAAACATTGTTTATTTGCATCATCTGATTTGCATCTCAGGGTATTTGTTTTAAAAATGGACAATGTGTACATTGTCCTTCGAAGTATTTAACCTTGTTATCTCATGATTTTAATTTTCACATGTAGTGTCAAACGCTGTAAATGAGTGAATGTTTTTTCACAGAAAAGCAGATTCACAAGACGTGGATATAAACCAACATGCCTCTTAGTGTTTTTCCATAACTTTATTTTCTTGTGTGTGATAAAAGAGGAGCTCAAACACGATGTCAAGCCACCCCACCCCCAGTTCAACAATAAAAAAGATAGTCGATCAAAATGCTCTGTTAATAATAACGAATCCAACAGACTGAAAAACTGAAAGGACCGTAGAAGAGATTTTTAAAGTGCACTAAAATTTAGAGAGACAAATAGCTCCAGTGTCCTGCTTTTGAATAGAAAAAAACATGGCACTTTGTGTCAGGATACCATAAAGCCAAATATATTATTTTCCTTGTCGTCAGAAGCTAAATGTAGGTTATATTACATAACATTACTGAACTACATTGTATTCAGCAGTATCACTGTAGAAATGTGGGAAATCCACATTTCAATCTTCTTTAAAAATTAATTCCAGCATAGCGCTACAACAACCATAATAATGTTTAATAGATAATGCTTTACAATGAACTCTGTCAGAGAGCTACATATGGCAGTTTATCTCCTCAATAAAATACCTTACTCACCAGTTGAGTAATAAAAACGCGGTCATGTCGCTCTTACAGCATTTCAAATCCCTCCATCTCCGAAAAGCAAAGCCAATGTTGATTCTCATTTTATTACGAGCTCTGTCGCGTTCTCTTCTCAGCAGAATTTTTTTAACGGGTGATTCCCCGGAGGATCGAGAATTTCAACCTTTCTCACTCGATGTAAAACTAACCTCTGCGACTCCCACACCAGACCCGGAGCAACTTCTCTCTGAAGAGACACGCATGGATGAGTGACGCATGCAAAAAACAAAAACAAAAAAAACCCATCCCAACAGGTCTAAAATATAAACACCTTATAAAAGGCTTAACATAGTGAATAAGGATAAGACAAAAACACGTTTTGGAAGAAGGATTGATGATGTATTGACTCATGATTTAAATTGTATTCATTTTTAACCAAAAAAGTTACATAGTGTACCTTTAACTAAAACTGTAGGCTACTATTTTTCATTAACTCAAATAAAGCTGATAATAAAAATAAAAAGTACATCATATACAAATATACTATATACAAATATAAAAATGACAAAGCACACAAAATTGCTTAAACTAAAATTACAGCTGAAAATAGAGCTATAAAAGCTAATTCAAAATATTAATATAGTATTTAAAAAAGCACTGGTTATTCATATCTAGCAGCATTTGACTGAGATTTTAACATTAGCGATTCATGCTCAATTTACTGTGGTTATTGGCTGATACCAGAGATTTTTTATTTATTAGCACTGGCCAATATGCAAACCTTAAAATGAATCAATATTTCACATTGTACATTAAACTGTAAATATTGTACAAATATATGTTTGCTCATTTGAATGCCTTTTACCTGTTTCTAAGGTCAATCTGAATTTGCTTATTTCAGTTAGTTTGAAAGTTAAACCATATTTATTTGCATCCTCTGATTTGCATCGCAGGTCATAAAAAAAATATAAAAAAACCTTCAAAAAAGACACATTTTCAATTCCAGCTACATTAAACAAACGGTGAGTCAGTATTTTTTTAAATCAAAAACAGAATCACAAAGTGGGGACAAACAAACATGTTGTCTCTGCATTTAAGCGTTCCTTAACCGTTTCTTACATGATAAAAAATAGAGCTAAATCATGATGACGAGCGACCACATCCACAGTCTCTTTAAAAGATCTAAAGACACAGGGACACATTTTAAGCACATTGATTATTATATTGTCAAGGTCAGGAACTACAGTGAGCCATCAGAAAAACAAAATAAAAAAAATAAAAAACAAACGAATGCAACAGGATGAGAAACTAAAATAGACCTGAAATGCTTGTAGATTTTTTTAAGCATGCAAAGACAGTTCTACAATAGTTCAATATGTTACTTTGGAATGACGGAAAGGTCATTTCCACATTCTCCACACATATAAATTATACTTAATTTTACTCCTAGATTTGTGTTTGTCAGAATGGTATTTATCAGATTTGTCTTATACTGTAGCAGCATGGACCCTGGACTTACTGTCTGTGAAACAATTTGTGCGTTAATTCACATTAATTCACTTCATTTTCATTCATCAGAATTTTATTTTAAATACCATCTCCAGGGTTACAAAGCAACTCAAAGGAATAAGGTAAGGCAAGAGGAGGAGTCTTACAAATAGAGCTTGACTTTTGATTGGTCAAGGCTGTCCTTGTCTGACTGGTCTATAAGAAAGAAATCTTCATAAATTGAGACTTGCAATCATCACTTTGGGCATTTCTGCTGCTGGCACAACACTGGATATATTGACAATATGGCAATGAAGGCTACAGCCACTGTGTTTCTGTTTTTGAGTCTCTTTGGATTGAACACCGGCCTCTACAGAAAACATTATTATGTGGATGAGAGAAAGCAGTGGTCAAGTGCACAGCAATACTGCCAAACTCACCATGATGACCTGTCCACCGTTAGCAATGAATTTCAAGAACTGCAACGACTTTCTGATAATTCACAGGTCACTGGTGATTACTGGATTGGACTTCATAGTGATGCCTACTCAAGACTGTGGAAATGGACAGGAGGTGAGGATGCAACTGATGTCAAGTGGGACAGGGGCGAACCAGATACTTATTGGCATGAACAATGTGGCAAGGTCGAAAAGTCCTCTTCTAAAGTTCATGATGCTTATTGCAGTGGGTCTTTACCATTTTATTGTATGGAGGTCTTTGAGCTGATCGTGGTGAAGCAGGAGAACACGTGGGAAGAGGCTCTGGAATACTGCAGACAAAACTACATTGATCTTGCCAGTTTAAGCTCAGATGTGATTATGAAGGAGGCAGAAGATAAGAGCACAGCCCTGACAGATGATGTTTGGATTGGTCTGCGCTTCATCGCTGGTCACTGGTTCTGGCTAAATGGAGAAGGTCTGGACTATAAGGTCTGGTCTGCGGGTGGAGAGCTCCAGTGTCCTGCCATGGATCAGCGCTGTGGGGTTTATGATGTAAAGAAGAAGGTTTGGAAACCCGCAGACTGTGAGCAGAGACTCAACTTTCTCTGCGTCAAGACTGTTGGCTAACACTGGCACATTTATAGAAATGTTGATTAATGTGTGTTGTCCTTATAAATAAATAAATAAATCATGAAATTATTCATGGTTAGTTAATTAAATTTAAAATAAAAACTATTTCAAAGCATATTTTAGTAGTTAATATAAATGTAGTATGTTAACTGCCATGCATTGTGATAATAATAACGATAAAGTCTAGTCTTGCTTTTGAAACTTGTGAAATGTTGTTAGCTGCATCCTACACTTGTTTAGTGCTTTTAAACTTTACATTTGTAATAATAAAAATACCTGTCAAGACTCAAGACGAAGTTTTTTGGGACGTTATACACACATTCAAATCTGCTGTAACATTTTTTGCACAAATTCCACATATAAACCATGATCTTTCTGTCTGAATACTAATTCATTTAACTTTTTACATATTTTGCTTTCTTAAACCATTAAACAAAACTCTCAAGTATGTTGTAATCGATGTTTTATTCCACACAAACCTACTGATATATCGTTATTACATCCAGTGTCTGTAAAACAAAGTAGCCAATCAAACACGGCCTCTGAACGTCAGGTGAGTCATTTTGATCGTTTGAAAATGTAGTGATGAAGAAAGCTCGACTCGCAAACAAACAGAAAGCAATGTTCAAATACAAAGGTATTGGAGTAGTGGAGTAACAAATATTGTGTTTTACAAATATAAAATGAGCCTAGATAATATTTCACAAATAAATAAAAACCATCCTACAAATTGCATGTAACCTTTGAACAAATACCAAATCTAGTGCACACAGATGCATCTGTCTATGTGAGACTGGCTTTTTACAATATTATGAAGCTGCAGACTCGGAGCCTGCATCTACAGTCCCCCACCGAGAGTCCCGCATTCTCAGAGCCCTCGTTTTTCGAACACAGCGCCTCCTGCTGTTCGAAAGATCGTATAACACCCGCACACAGAGTACAGCGCACGCTTATCCAAATGCAATTAAAAACAATAGGATGCAATATTACGGTCTTCAAATAAATGATCCAATAAATATTTGCGTTCCCTGCTTAATGCATGTGCCAAAAAAAAACTCATTGCAAAGGAAGGGATACAATTACAGATTGAACTATCTTCTGAAAAATAGTAGGCCTATGTGATATTATATTGCTACAATGTTTTTTTAATATTTTTTTTATTCAAATTCCAATTTGTCTCTCAGTTCAACCTATAATGGTCTAATTTACATTACCATGCTAACATTACAAAATCTATTTTTTGATATTTTGAATGCGAAGCAAAACAAATCAGAATAGACAAAACACCAATAATAAACAATTCTGTACTTTATTTAATGATCACCTAAACATCATCTTGCTGTAAAGAAAAAAGGAGGAAAAAACTGTGTTCGTGACTTTACTTTTCGTCTTCAATTGCATTAAAAAAACTAATTTATAAGTCGCTTTGCATAATCATAAAATGATATGTTGCTGGGTTCGGCAGGGGCGACTCCATCGATGTATGGTGTACCCTGGAATAGCCTACTACAACAGTATAGGCCCGATAGCACATGTCTTATGATGTTTCAAAAAGAAAGAAAAAAAAAAGAAAAAAGATGTTTGCAAATGTTACCTTCATGTTGCACTGCTCTGTTGAAGTGTCCCTTGAGATGTTTTTGAACTTTGGACAACTTTGTGGGTTTGAAATATATGGGGGCACAAAATGGGCAGTGAAAATCACTGCAGCATTTATGACATATCTACAAAAAGTCCAAGATTAAAGGCTAACGTTAGCTATCAAAATATTTTCGGGGGGAAGAGGGCGAAAAAACATACATTAACGGCTCAAATCTTGTTACAAACTATCTTTACAAATATTAAATGGACTATTCATCCTATGTTGTATCGATGAGATAAATTAGTTTTATTATTATTATTTTGAATTAGCTTTTATAGCTCTATTTTCAGCTGTAATTTTAGTTTAAGCAATTTTGTGTGCTTTGTCATTTTTATATTTGTATATAGTATATTTGTATATGATGTACTTTTTATTTTTATTATCAGCTTTATTTGAGTTAATGAAAAATAGTAGCCTACAGTTTTAGTTAAAGGTACACTATGTAACTTTTTTGGTTAAAAATGAATACAATTTAAATCATGAGTCAATACATCATCAATCCTTCTTCCAAAACGTGTTTTTGTCTTATCCTTATTCACTATGTTAAGCCTTTTATAAGTGTTTATATTTTAGACCTGTTGGGATGGTTTTTTTTTGTTTTTGTTTTTTGCATGCGTCACTCATCCATGCGTGTCTCTTCGGAGAGAAGTTGCTCCGGGTCTGGTGTGGGAGTGGCAGAGGTTAGTTTTACATCGAGTGAGAAAGGTTGAAATTCTCGATCCTCCGGGGAATCACCCGTTAAAAAAATTCTGCTGAGAAGAGAACGCGACAGAGCTCGTAATAAAATGAGAATCAACATTGGCTTTGCTTTTCAGAGATGGAGGGATTTGAAATGCTGTAAGAGCGACATGACCGTGTTTTTATTACTCAACTGGTGAGTAAGGTATTTTATTGAGGAGATAAACTGCCATATGTAGCTCTCTGACAGAGTTCATTGTAAAGCATTATCTATTAAACATTATTATGGTTGTTGTAGCGCTATGCTGGAATTAATTTTTAAAGAAGATTGAAATGTGGATTTCCCACATTTCTACAGTGATACTGCTGAATACAATGTAGTTCAGTAATGTTATGTAATATAACCTACATTTAGCTTCTGACGACAAGGAAAATAATATATTTGGCTTTATGGTATCCTGACACAAAGTGCCATGTTTTTTTCTATTCAAAAGCAGGACACTGGATTTGAAACCACGCGCTTGCCTTTGCCTACAGCTGAGGAAAATGACCAGTGAACAGGTGAGTTTCTGTCTTACTGTAATAACATTTTGAGGTTTTCATTTGCAAAAGGTTTATTACAAGGCATGTGCAATATAAATATAATTGCTGTAACTTGAAATTGTTTAAATTTAACGTTTCTGATTGAAACCGTCACCACTCTCAATTACGGTACATACAAAGACACATAGGCCTAAACAAAGACAAAGGCCTAAAAGCGATGTTTTAAAGAAGGACTGCTTTGAAAGATCTTGCAGAGTTTTGAATCATGTTTCTGCTGGAGAGTTTTGTGTCACATGTAGAAAAACATGCACAGTAACCAAATCCTGATTTTACATGGAAGCATTTGCTTCCATACATAGCACCTGTTTCTGAGGGAAATCTGAATTTGTCTAATTGTTTTGTCCTTAAATTTAAAGGTTAACCAATATTTTTTTTGATTTGCCTGTTATGTCATGTTTAAAAAGGCCAGCGTTTCAATGGTGTCACCTTTACATGTTACAGTGTCACTTAAAGTAGTTTCTGGCCTCCCATTGACTTCAATGGTATCATTTATTATTATTTTTCATACGGAAGTCAATGGGGACTAACAACTGTTTAGTAAACCCACATTCTTCAAAATATCAATATACAATATTTTCAACTCATAGCGGTTTAGAACAATTTGAGGCTGAGGAAATTTTGACAGAATTCATTTTTGGGTGAACTACGCCTTTAATAATGATTTAAAAAGCTTGAGAATATCAGTGAAATGCAACATTTTTACATGAACAGACATGGCAAATGTCTCCCTTTGTACATAGTTCATGCCTTGGATCCTCATTTCCACTGATCTAGAGGAAGCTGCCATTCATACAGACGGGAAATTAAAAAAAATGGGTCAAATAAGGCCCAAACACAACACATGTAACATTTTAAAGTCACCATAAATTCAAAATGGACAATTCTTAGTTTTTAATGGAATTTTACAGTGTTTATTTTTATACATGATTTATCCTTGCACATTATTATTATTATATTTTAATTTACGTTCTCTTGTAATCTTCAATCCAAAACATTAAATTCCCTTCACATCACAGCAATTAGCACACACAACAACAGTCCACTCAATTCCTGATGGACAAAATGAAGTCCGGCCCAACATTTTGTCTTGTTCGAGAAGCCAAAATGCATTGCAACAATAACAGTTCTGTACTGCAGAAAAAACGTCTGTTTGCCGTAACCCGACCGACCCTGTCAATTTAGGACCGACCCAATTTATTTATTTATTTTCCTTTTAGTCCGACCGACTTGCCGGTTGTAAACTTGCGTTAAGACCGACCGATTTTTTTTTACTCTTCAAAGCACTAATACAAATTCAATAAAATAATATTCATTATATTTTAGTAAGTATTGTGAATATAAATTGCTTATGCCTACATATAAACGAAGGCTACGTTCTTTCTTTTAAATAAAAACCCGTGGCGTCATCGTCATCAATGATTATGTTACACCATTGGTTTACGCATGTAAACATGCCATACAACCATGGCATGTACGTTCGCTTCGCTTCATTCCCTGTTCGCGCTTGGTAATGATGGCTACGGCTGCAGTAAATAAAATGTTCGCGGTCAACGTTCAAAGTCACACGGCTTCGGGCACCATAATACATCTAAAAAATACATTAAAACATCTCGACACCGCTTTAACTTGGCACGAAGTTCTGGAAAAACTGTGCCCAGATCTTTTCCCCTCACTTCTCCCCTCTAGTCTAACGGTGACCGTGTCGACTGACATGAAGGAAACCACTAAAGTGTTGGTGGAGGGAACTCAAACTATTGAGGACGTGCTACAATTTGACCCTAATATTAAAGTGGTTTCTTTTAAATTGAAATTTCAAAGTGAGCCACCACCACCACCACCCCCCAACAACATAAGGAATGCATTTTCCATCATGATGGGGCAGGCGAAGACCCCGAAGTACCCGGTCCTTCGCACCTGCAATAATGGTGAGTTTGCATTCTTGACCACTAGCAGAGCAGGCTTTTTGATTTGGAGCTAGCATGCACACTAGCCTACCTGTTAACGTTAAAAGCTAACTTCAATAGTGTTTGAGATGGAGAATTTTGAGATATGCTTGTGAAATACGTCTGTATGAGCCTACATTTATAGGCGCTCTTTATTCGGAA